TCACCCCATGCCATCCCGCCTACAAACCACCCGCCACAACCACCACACCACTACCAATTATAGGTCACCGATCAGAATACTTGGGGGGAAAAAGAACCATACATACCCCACCACCACCATCACCACAGCAACCAACAAGCCATCCACAATAGATTGAATAATAAAAAAAAAATCAAGGTGGCACTATAGATTCAGGTAGTAGCAACGCTGCCTAGCTGCACGCGGTGGCGCTGTCCGCAACGAGGCACCGCTGCGTGCAGCCAGGACTCTGAGGAGACGCTTCGCAACTTCGACAACAACAACGGAGTCTCGCTGCGTGCAACAGTGCTCCCACAACGAGGCACCTCTGAGCTTGTTGCCTTGTCGTCAAGGAATGAGGGGTGTTTCGACGCCAGATGAGGGGGTGGGTGCGAGGCAGGAATAGTTTGGGGTGTGAAAGGTAGAGAGACTGAGATTAGAGAAAGAGGGAGAGAGGAAGATGTGATATCTAGGGTTTAGTGAAATTGACTTGGAGGTGGGGGGTGGGATGGAGTGGAGTGGGGTGAACTAATTTTATTTTACATTATTATTATTATGTTTTTTTAAAGATGAATTATCATCACAATTTTGAACAAAAGAACTTTGAAATCTTATTTTTAAATTGGGAAGTTAAAAAAATATGTGTGGGGTGTAATTTCCACTAATAAATATCAACAATTGAGTCTATAATGGTATTTGTTCTCTTTTGCTTTTTCAAGTACACATCTTCGAATTTATTTATTTATTTATTTTTATCAAAAGTTTAATGTGTACAAATATTTCCAGTAAACAGCTAAATTTTAAATTTTAGAGTTTTGTTGTGTAAAACATGTTCTCAAAATGAACTTTTTTGTAGGGGAAATATTGTCATCTATTGTGCTGCCTAGGTGAATAAGTGGATGGCCATTTGACAACTCTTAAACTGAGTGCTAATATTTGGATCACTGATTTTATCCAATGACTGAGATCAAATCTCTCTGCCAGTTGGTGCGTAAGTCTGGATGTTTCGGTTCACTTTTGGCTTTTCATTTTCTGGTCTACTTTCTCTCTCTTATTGTTTGGTTCTTCTTCATGTTGTTCTGATTCAGATTTGCAACCTTCCTTGTTGTATCCATTGTAGTTAGCCTTGTACAATATTTTAAGCCTATGTGCATGGCCTGTAAATCTGTATAGTTGATAGGCTGTTATGGTTATTGTTCTTGTGTAGACTAGGGTTTGGATTCGTGAGCTCCTTGAAGGATCAATAACTATATCAAGTTCTGATTTGGTTTTAAAGAAAACAGAGAGCAGAATAAAAAGATAAACTGGAAATTATTATTTTCTTTCTTGTTGCTTTTGTTATGAATCTACAGAATTTATACAATCAAGTAGCAGATATGGGATTTTGAAAACATAGCAAGCCGGGCAGGTGAAACAATATTAACTATACATTGAAAGCTAGGAATATGAACAACCAAACTTGTCTTCTAGCCGTTGAGAGGAGCAGAATATTGTAATTGATGCCAAAGAATAAAGACAATTAAAGAGGTTTAACTAATTCCTTGAAATGCTGAATAAAGACTATTTAAGAGTTTTAACTATTTCCTTGAAATGCGTTTCTGGTCATTATGCTTAGCATTCCCCCTTAAGCTGGTGGAGGTCATGGAGGGATCGCCCAGCTTGTGACGAAACTGAGTGAATGAAGCTCGAGCAAGAGGTTTGGTAAAGATGTCTGCAATTTAACGAGTCATAGGAACATATCGTGTAGAGAGAAGACCTTGAGAAATTTTTTCTCGAATAAAATGGAAGTCCAGTTCGATATGCTTAGTACGCGCATGAAAGACATGATTCTTAGTCATTTGAAGAGCACTTTTGTTATCACACAACAGCAAAGGAGTGCGTGATAAAGAGATGCCTACATCACGAAGTAAAAAGAAATCTAAGTAAGTTCAGCTGCAGTAGAAGCTAAGGATAGATATTCAGCTTCGGCACACAGTAGTTTGTTTCTTTGAGCTCTATGAAATGCAGTTTGCCCCTAGATACACACAATATCCAGTTGTGCTGCGACGAGTGAGTGGACAACCAGCCCAATCAGAGTTCGAAAAGGCATATAAGGTAGGAGAGCTTTAAGCAAGATAACGAATACCAAGATGTGCAGTCCCTTGGAGATATCGAATGATACATTTAACATCACGAAGATTAGCAGCAGTTCGTGTTTGAAAGTGCTGAGAAACACGATTCACAGCATGCGTGATGTCAGGCCGAGTAAAAGTGAGGTACTGGAGACTGCTGACAAGAGCTCTAAATTCAGTAGCATTAACTAGATTATTATTAGTAGGTGTTGGTGTTACTTTGATAGCCATTGGAGTGGCAATAGAAGAGCAGTTCTACATATGAGCTTTTGCCAATAAATCCTTAGTATATTTTGTATGCGATAAGAAAACATCACCATTAAAATATTTCACTTCAATGCCTAAAAAATAATTGAGGCGACCTAGATATTTAAGAGCAAATTTTGAGCTAAGCATAAGAATAATTTGATGAATGGTAGAAGAATTTGATCTTGTAATAATCACATCATCAACATATACTAGAATGATAATAAGTTCGTAATTAGTTTTTAAGGTAAATAGTGAAGAGTTAGCCTTGCTGTATTGAAATCCAAGAGTAAAAAGAGATTGAGAAAGACAATCAAACCAAGCACGAGGTGCTTGTTTAAGCCCGTAGATAGAGCGATGAAGTTTGCAAACATGATATGGAAGAGTTTGATCGATGAAAATAGGCGGTTGTTCCATGTATATAGTTTCTTTGAGGTGACAATGAAGAAATGCATTTTCTACGTCCAATTGCCTCATCTCCCAATTTAAGCTAACTACAATAGAAAGAACAAGGAGAATAGTTGTAGGTTTAATCATACATGAATTGGGGACCATAACCCTTTATATAATTCCATATGTATTCGGCCTATCGTCAAATACAAACCCTAATAGATTCGGTCTCTACACATATAATCTGACTCACACTTTATTTAGATGTTCAAAGCCCAATTATTTAATTCTTTATTAGATCACTTTAATTTTGAGCTCAACTTTAAGATAGTATTTATACACAGTTAATTACATATGTTGACCCACATGACAAATTAAATAATTTCTAATTTGGCCGACATGGCAAAATAAAATATCAAATTTGGTAACGAGTTATTTATGTATCATGAATATGAGTAAAATAAATATGTAATTGTTGTAAAATCTTAAACTAAATTTGAAAAATTGAACATTGGACTTGATTTGGAAATGAAGTTAGTTGGGCTAAAATTAATTTTTGGATTGGGCTAAATTTTTATTCTTTTTTCATTTTCACCATGAATTTGGGCTATGTTTTCCATTTTTATAGAAGCCAATTTGTTTCTGGGCTGGGGCTGGGGATGAATTTGGGCTATGTTTTCCATTTATATAGAAGCTAATTTGTTTTTGGGCTGGGGTTGGGCTCCCCCCTATATATCCATCCGCCACTGTTTGCATCCTCATTTCAACATTTTCTTGTGGAGTTGGTCATTTTCGTCTCATTATGTCAATTCATTTCGTCAAATATTGGTAATTAGTACACAATATTCCTATCATTTGCCTTCATTATGCATTCTTCTCTATCGTTTTAATTTTAACATTTGGATTCTTAAATTGACATTTCTTTGCACAAAAGGTCCTTACATCAAGTTTTTAAGCATTGAAAAATAATTATTTTATCACTATCTTCAAATAAACAAATCGAAAAGAAAGAAATCATATATATATATAAAATTACAATCAAAGTTCTAAAATTTTCAAATAATGCAAAGGAGTCCCTCTTGAAATAATTTAAAACATAATAACAAAAAAAAAAAAAAAAA